AGAGATTAATCAAAGAACTTACATGTTCATAAGCATAACCCATGGACACAGACACTGGTCTGGGGAAGGCCTGGGGGTGGGGTGGTTGCGGGGTGGAGGGGATCAATGGGGGAAAAAAGGGGACATTTGTAATACTTCTAACAATAAAGGTATATTTAAAATATATATATATATTTATATATATATAAAAAAAAAGAAAACTGATACAGCATTACATAGGTACCTACAATGTGCTAGTAACCCTAATTTCCTGTCTTAATGAATTCTCTCATTACTGTCATTGATAAAAGGTTCAATAATAGAAATACAGAAAACAGAAAGAGGTCAAATAAACAACACTGTATTCACAAAGAGCAAAGCTCAGTGTAACCAAGACACATACCTAGGCATTAAGCTTCTGTGTTTTTCATAAAACATCCTTAAGTCTTGAGGACTATTGGCCTGTTTGAAAAAAAGAAAAAAGGTTTAATTTACTAAATAACAGGAGCAAAAATTCCAGACCATATGATTGATGCTCATATTCTTGCTACAGAACCTAGATTCTGAACTTGGAAGCATGGATTGCTGAAGGAGCCACAGATGGCCACCAGGGACTCAATAAAACCTCTGAAATTATATGCAAATTCTGCATATCTGGGCACTGAGATCAAACTCTCAGAGGCCTAAAACTTATAAAGATTAAGAACCACTATTCTAGAGTTTAAGAAGCAACAGGTACACTTTTATTGTGCAAAATCAGAGTGTATTTTACCTTAAGACCGTCAAGGGATTCACGGAAGAGAACTGGGTGCCTGCATACTGCTACTTTTCAGTCTCTCCGCAGTAGCAAGCGGCACCTTCAGAATAAGAGCTGCTGAATTACTGAAGCTGCCTGTACAGACAAACTAGATTTGAAAATTGACTGCTTAACCTGGCTGTGTCACTGATTTTTTTTTTTAAATATATCTTTACTGATTTCAGGGAGGGGGAGAGAGACAGAAACATCAATGATGAGAGAGACATTGATCGGCTGCCTCTTGCATGCCCCCGACTAGGGATCGAGCCCACAACCTGGGCATGTGCCCTGACCAGGAATCGAATCTTGATCTCCCGGATCCTAAGTCGATGCTCAACCACTGAGCCACGCCAGCTGGGTTGTGTCACTGATTTTTTAAATACCATCTTAGGCAAATAAGTTCACTTTGATCCAGTGTTCAGATTAAAAAAACCTCTTGTAATTATGCAATATGAACTCAAGAGGAGTCATCGTGATTATACTCTAAGGGCTTTTTTTGACAGGATGTTAGGGGAAAGGAGGAAAGGGAGACAGACCCAAAATAATTTCCATAAAGCCTAAACAACTGGCCCTCTCTAACTCAGCAGTGACAGGAATGGATGTCTGAAGGCAGTTTCCAGTGATATTCCCAGGCTAGCCCTCTCACTTCTTGGATTCCCGGACCCCAAAACTAGGCTAAGCAGGAAGCACTGACCTCACAATTCATTTCCATTTTCCACTAGATTGCTGGTCCTGACCCTCACTAGTTTTCACTACCCTGGGAAACATATAACAGGCTCATGCTCAGTCCAATTACAAAGGGAAGGCAGACAACACAGAAAAAGCTAAAATGTTCTCACTCACTACAGCAGTTTTTGCCTGTAACAAAATCAAAATAAGTCACAAAGGAACCAAAACCACTGCTTTCAAAGTATTCATTTTATAAGTCAAAGGAACTGCAAAATGAGAGGATCTCAAAGCTGAGCACATAAGAAAAAAGTCAGGATACCTGAAAAGGTGGTTTTCCAACAAGGCATTGATATATTACTGTTCCTATGCTCCACAAGTCAGCCTTAGCATCGTAATGTTGAGACATAATAACCTCAGGAGCCTAGGGTAAGAAGATTCAGGAGACATGTATTACATTATTTACATAATTAATATGAATATATTAACTGAAAAAAATCACACTTCTAACAAAACTACTAAAATAAAAACAACACATTGTGATATTTCCCTAATCAAAATAAAACTGTAATGAATACAGAACTTTGTTATATTGACATTTACCGGTAAACCTCAAAAACTGTTGCATGAAAAGAAGTAGTAGAAATAAGCATTTCTATATATTATTATGAAATACAGTAAAAGTATTAAAGTAATAATAAAGAAATATACACACCAGTTACAGGATAGAGGTTACTTCTGGGGTATGAGAGTAAAACAGTGGGAAATGGAGAAAGGGAGAGGTACAATAGAACTTGGACTGTCTCTGAAATAATTTACTTCTTACTAAAAAAAAAAAAATCAAGGCAGCATGGCAAAATGTTAACTTTGTTAAACATAGGTGGTAGGTATCAAGTGTTTGCTATACTATCCCTTTTTTCTGCCACTTAAAAGCTTTTAAAATAGCAGAAAAACTGTACCACAAAACAATAATAAAAACAGTCTTAAAAGCAAGGTCATTTCTCTGTTGCTTTGCTATAGCTATTTTCCTACCTCTCATTAGATGTTGCTTTTTAAAAATACCATCAGACAGGACAAACATTAAATAGAAATTTGAAATATATTAAAGATAGTGAAGTTTTATTTTCCAGGCATAACATTTTTATTGTCTCTTGTAAATTTCTTAGAGTCAATTTCCGTTAAAAATCAGCCCAAGGGCCCTGGCTGGTGTGGCTCAATGGGAACCCAAAAGGTAGCGGGTTCGATTTCCGGTCAAGGGCACATACCTGAGTTGCAGGTTCTATCCCTGGCCCCAGGCGGGGCAAGTGCAGGAGGCAACCAGTCAACCAATCAATGTCTTTCTCACACCGATGTTTCTCTCTCTCTTCTTCTCTCTCTTCCTTCCTCCCTCCCTCCTTCTCTTCCATTCTCTCTACAATCAATGGAAAAAATATCCTCGGGTGAGAATTAACACACACAAAAATCAGCCCAAGCACTTACTCTATCCTTAAAGCTATTGAGTCCAAGGCTGGACTAATTTCATACTCAAGTGCAAAATAATTTTTAAATTATATTAAATTTAAAAATGTGTATATTAGTAGTAAAATTATGATCAAAAAAGTAAATCTAATGTAAAAATTATTTTGAACTTTGATTACTAGTTCCCTTGATTTCAAAGTTCATTCTAGATTAGACGAAATCCTAACTGAAAATAAACAAACCCATCTTAAAGTTAGAATTGAAACATTCACTTACTTTGCAGGATTCTGAAGTTCCAGAATTAAGGTATTTCTAGGCTTAATACTTCACATTAGTTCAGAAGTTTCACAGGCTAACCCCATCAGACCTGATAATAGGCATATGAAAGGGTAAAGAGGAAAGCTAAGATTTTTCTTTTTTTATTGACTTCAAAAAGAGGAAGGGGGAGAGAGAGAGAGAGAGAGATAGAAACATCAATGACAAGAGAGAGTCACTGATCAGCTGCCTCCTGCATGCCCCCAACTGGGGACTGAGCCCACAACCTGGGCATGTCCCCTGACCAAGAATCTAACCACGACCTCCTGGTTCATGGGTTGATGCTCAACCATTGAGCCACACCAGACGGGCGAAAGCTAAGACTTTTTCAGCTTTAATTGTGACACTGATGAAACTTTTACAATGTAGGGATCTCATCAAGAGAGACAACATGCAAAAAATTAAATGTATCCTGGAGCTGAAGAGATGTCCCCAAAAGGTGTTTTATAAGTATTCCTAGTATTACACATCAAGTATAGCATGACCATACTTCATCAATTTTTATTTTCAATTTAATCTAGTAGGAAATTTCTACCACAATAACTATTTATTTATTTTTAAATATGTTTTTATTAATTTTAGAGAGAAAGGAAGGGAAAGGGAGAGAAAGAGAGAGAAACATCAATCAGCTGCCTCCTGCACACCCCCTACTGAGGATCAAGCCCAAAGCCCGGGCATGTGCCCTGACCAGGAATCAAACCTGCAACCTTCTGGTACATGGGATGATGCTCGACCAGCTGAGCCACACTGGGCAGGGCAATAACTACTTTTTAAAAAAAAGTAAAAATCAATGGACAAACATGACTAACTTTTGCAGTCCACTGTGCTAAAGCAAAAGGTGTCTGCGTTACAGCATTATCAGTAACATAATTAACGTTAGTGACTTAAGTAACACTTCAGACTCTATAAACTGACATCCTACTTGGAAACAAGCGTTATGCTTAAATTCCACACTATGGCAGTAAACACATGAGGATGCAGGTGCTCACTCACCATGTACATCGGGGACCCGCACAGTGTTGCAGCCATCATGTTGCTGTGTAGGTAACGAGCAAAACCAAAATCCGCTATTTCACAAAATAAAAAGGAGAAAAACAATGATACCTTTGCTCATAGTTACAAAATAGTCGTCATCAGCAATTGTACAAGCCAGTGTCTGCGAGCTTTGTGACCAAGGAGAAAGCACCAAGCTTTGCAAGAGAAAATGCTAATTATAACAAACAATTCATTAATATAGCTGTCATTGAACATCAATACCACATATAAAATCTGAACTGTTTTTGCCCTGCAGACATCAGATATAATCAATATAACATCAGAAATTTCTTAAAATAAGAAATTATTTTTCTGACAAAAAAGTTTTTTTAAAAATCCAGCACTACAAACTGCTTCGAATAATGTTGACATACAAGAGCACTAAACCCACCAAATAAGAAGGCTGAACTGAACAGTCTCTTAGATTTCTTACGTTAAAAAACCTGTGAGTTGTAAAGCACCTGGGTTATGACTTTGCCGCCAACAATTGAAATACTTGGCTTCCCTCTGAGAAGAAGCAGGATTTCTTGCTGGGACTCATGTCTAGAGTCCCTCACCTGAGCCCTTGGCCCTGTCCGAAATTCAGCAGGTGCTGCCAGGAATGGAGAGAGTTCCCCTATCTCACACCTCACTGAAGTCAACAGAAACTTCCAAAGTGCATCAACAAAATCACTCATTCTAACAAGGCTGAACCAAAATATCTAAAAATACTAAGTCTCGAAAATGTTCTTTGCACGAAACAATGCACGGCCTTTTACCTATTTTGATGCGAATCCCACTGACACCGGACTTCCTGCGACTGGCGTAGGACAGCAAGATGTTCTGCGGTTTGAGGTCCCTGTGGATGATCCCTTTGCCGTGCAGAATTCGCATGGCAGCGGCAATCTGATGCAGAAACACTCTGATAGTGTCTTCACTGAGAGTTCCTTTGGCTGGCAGGAGAGGAGTCGCGTGAGTGTTTAAGCGCACAGTCAGACACCATCAGCACGTGCCATCAACAGAAGCGAGTAGCTAAGACGACCATGGAGGAAACTGGATTCACATTTCCCCCGTTTTTACTTTGATAATTTAAGTCTATGGATCTCAAAAGTTTTAATTAATTTGTTGTAAAAGGAACTGATTTACATTTGCATCTTTTGTTTTCACTGGTGTTCATTTGTTTTCCTTTCTCATTTCTCTCAATATAAAAGGTGCTCAACAAATGTGAGTCCTCTCTACAAGCCAAAAAATAAGTTCCCCTTCATATTAGTAAATATCTGGGTTAATGTCCATATTTAATTCCAACCATTATATGAGCACATTAAAAACAGGTAACATCCTTGAATGGAGAGACTTGGGCATTACCACCAGAGACTTGTCAGGAATCTGTTCCCACCTCTGCCTCCTGTAGTCTCCCTCCCTCCCGACCAAAACTCCTGTCCCACCACAGTATCTTTCATAACTAAAGACACCTTTAGGAAGAAATGTGTTAACCTGTTTTTACTACAATGAGGGGGTAGCAGGAAGGTTATTTCTGAGGACAGTCATTATCCAGTAAAATGACAGTGTTTCTACATGTGCGCCGGACTGTGCAATGCCTGCTTAACAGCTTGGTTTGGAGGCAGGGTGCCTTTGTTCAAATCGTTGCTCCTCCACCTGCTGCTCACTGTGAGACCCTGGAAGATGACCCCTCTGTCCCCGCCCCTCATCTATAAAAAGCTGAAATAGGCAAACCACACTGGATTGCTGTGACAATCACACAGGATAATAATCTAATAATAAAGAGTTTAGATAAGTACTCAAACATAAACAGCACACAAACATAAACTTATTACAATGAATCTAAAAGTCACAAGTAGCCCTGGCCGGGTAGCTCAGTTGGTTAGAGTGTCGTCCTGATATGCAAAGGTTACAGGTCAATCCCCGGTCAGATCCCTCTCTCTCTCTCCCCCCACTTACTCCCTCTCTCTCCCTAAAATCAATCAAGAAAGAAAGAAAAATAAAAAAATAAAAGCCACAAGTATAATTCCTTGAAACTCCATCAGGGATTTAACATCCATGGCGGTCTAAATCGTCCCAGCAACTCCAGTGTACTTTCTATATAACCTTTCCATGTGCAATTAAGACAAAGAAGATAAAAATAACAGTAACACTTGGAATGAGTCAAATACTACGGTTTTAAAATCACTTTAACAGCATGTTAAGTGATACTTTATGTCTTTAACATCTTCAAATAAAATAAATCCCTTTGGTTTAAAAATTATGAAACACTTTTTCCTGTGAGAGCTGCTCTTAACCTATCCCTGTTTTTTAATTCTTTGGAGTTCTGTTCCTGATGCTCGCTGTAAAAAAAAAATTTAAAAAGTAAAATACACTAAAACATATAAAAAGTAAAATCTCCCATAAGCCCATCCCCTGGAGATGAACACTGTTTAAATTCAGAGTGTCTGCTTCCAGGACACTCCCTTGCTATGATGATGAACGGGCCAAAGCAGCACCAAACTTTATATTGTAACGTTCTCTTAAATCACGTTGCAACAAAACAGATAGTATGACTTTTTCCATTTCACTCATTTACATTGTCATTCTACAGCTTAGAAAAAATTTTGCTTCTTTAAATTATTGTAGCTACTTAGAACTTATATCTCTGCCCCATGACACCCAATTGAATATATTTAAAATTATTTAATTCAGAATCCAAATTCTAACACTGTTCCCCTGGGGGAAATTAATGATCTACTTTAGTTTAGGCTGTTTTTGGGTGCAAACTGTAGTAAAAATTCACATATTTTTATGAATATGGGATGTGTGCTTCTCAACACAATCCCATAAACTGAAATTCCCACATTAAAAACTCAATATACTTATCTCTCAGTATCACTGAGGGACATGGTTCTAGGACCCCTGCCAATAACAATCCATTGACGCTCAGGTTCCTCATATAAAATGATGCACAACAATGTACCCCGCCAGCACCCTGCATCTGTGGATTCCCAACCTCAGATCGGAAATGCTGTTTTGAGAGATCCGGTCAAGATGGCGAAGTAGGTAAACGGTGTGCTCACCTCCTCCCATGACCACATCAAAATTACACCCAAATTACAGAACAGCCAACCTGAAGAATCATCTAAAGACAAGTTGAACAGAAATCCTATAACTAAGGAAATTTTAAAAAGCCACAAGGTAGGAGGGGCGACATGGGCTGGTCCCACACCCACAGCGGCTGTTGAGAATCAGGATGACTATCTCAGCTACAGAAGGGGTCCCAGCCCCACACCTAGCCCCCAGCCTGGAGCACCACTGCCAGGAAGAAGAGCCACCTCAACATCTGGCTATGGAAACCAGCGGGGATTTCATCCATCCGGGTGAGACAGAGGGCTGCTGGAAACCCAGGTGTCTTCCTAAAGGGCCCCTGACACAGACTCACCTGCTCCCGGGCACTCACCCTGGGTCCTCGCAGAGGGGCAGCAGCTCAGGAGGCCCCAGAGCCATATGGGAAAAACTGAGTTGTGTGGCTTCTACAAGGGTTGAAGGGACAGCCACCATGATCTGTGCTGAACCATCCACACAGCCAACAAGCGGCACCATCTTTCCTGTGCTGAGCCCTCCCCAACATGGACAAATCTGAATCTGCATTAGCCTGGTAAACAACACTCGCCCTACCATGGTGACTCCAACACCCCGCCTCACACAAATCAGGTACCAGCAGAGGCTTTTTCAGTGGCAGCCGGCAGGTGGCAGCAGGACTCAGTGAGCCCTGTGTCTTTTGCTAAGCAGCCCCAGGCCTGGTACTGGTGGCAGCCGGCCTTGGTTCTCAGTGTGGCCTCTCCCACGCACCTCCAGGTCCAACACAGGCAGTTAACAACTGCAGACTGCTTTGTAGCCCCTACTAGGTAGCCCCAGCCCGTAACAGGCAGCAGCAGATCTTGGCCTGCACAGGAACCCCTCCCAAGAGACCCCAGAACCAACATACAGGGTGGCCTGTGTCAGACGACCACAGACCACCACCTGATTAGCAGCACAAGCAGCACATCCAAAGGGTGGTGTTGGCAGCACCAGAGCCAGATAAGGTGGGCGGCTTTCTGTGGGCTCAGCCCTAGCCCAGAAGCTTATACACTGTGGTCTTGGCCAATCCTCAAAGTTAGTCAGCCTGAGGACCAATGCCACCCACTGAGGGGCCAAGAGCAATCAAGGCTCAACCACAACAGGAGGGCACACAAGGGACACGCCTGGAGCACCCAGGTCAGGTGATCAGAGAGACTGCACCACTGGGCCCCACAGGACACCTACTGCATAGGGCCACCCCGCCATGACTGGGAGAAGTAGCAGATCTACCCAATACACAGAAACAAAAACAGAGAGGCAGCCAACATGAGGAGACAAAGAAACAGGCCCCCAATGAAACCTCAGGAGAAATCCCCAGAAAGAGAGCTAAATGAAAGGGAGACAAGCATCTACCACACACAGCATTCGAACCACTGGAACTTAGTTAAGAACTTCAACAAAGAGATGGTAAACATCAGAAAGAACACAGAAACCACAGGGAAAAGCCTTTCGGGAGTGCACATAACCATATGGAGAGCATGCTGGGAAGAATGAGCAGCGGGGCAGGCAGAGGACGGCCAGACGGACGGAGTCAGTGATGCAGGACAAGGCAGCAGAGAACACCCGACAGGGCAGGAAAAAGAATAAGGAACTTTTAAAAACTGAGGACACTTTAAGGGACCTCGAGGGCACATCAAGGGTGACAGCATCCACATCGCAGGGGCGCCAGAGGAGCAGAGGTACTGGGAACCTACCTGAAGAAATAATGCCTGAAAATTTCCCTAACCCGCGAAGGAAACAGACACGAGTCCAGGAAGTACAGAGGATCCCAAACAAGAGGAACCCAAAGAGGCCCTCAGCAAGACACAGCATAATCACAATGGCAGCGGGTAAAGACAGAGAGAAACTTAAAAGCAGCAAGAGAAAAGCAGTTAGTTATCTGCAAGGGAGCTGCCTTAAAACAATGAAACTAAGACCACCTTGTTACACCACATACAAGAACAAACTCAAAATGGATTAAAGACCTAAATATAAGACCCCAACCATAAAATCCTAGAAGAAAGCATGGGCAGTAAACTCTCTGACCTTACTAAACATTTTTTTCTGACATAGCTCCAGGTAAGGGGAACAAATGAAGGAATAAAGAAATGGGACTACATCAAACTAAAAAGTGTTCTTACAACAAAGGAAACCATCAACCAAACAAAGGACAGCCTACAGACTGGGAGAAATATTCACAAATGATACATCCAGTAAGGGATTAACACTCCAAATATGTAAGAAACTCACACAACTTAATACCAAAAAAACCCAACCCAATTAGACATATGAAAAGATGGCTAACAGAGATGAAAAGATGCTCAACTTCAGTAGTGATCAGAGAAATGAAAAATAACCACAATGAGGTATCACCTCACACCTGTCAGAACGGCTCCCATCAATATATCAACAAACGACAAGCAGTGGCGAGGATGTGGGGCAAGGGGAGGATGTGGGGCAAGGGGAGGATGTGGCGGGAATGCAGACTGGTGCAGCCGCTGTGGAAAACAGTATGGAGGGTCCTCACGATTCCACTTCTGGGTATTTATCTGCAGAAATCCAAAACACTAATTTGAAAAGATATATGTACCCCTATGTTCACTGCATTATTTACAGTAGCCAAGATATGAAAGCAACCTGGCAGTCATCAATAGACAACTGGATAAAAAAGAGGTGGTGCATACAGACAATGGAATATTACTTGGCCATAAAAAGAAACAAAATCTTACCCTTTGCGACAGCCTGGATGGACCTAGAGGGTATTATGCTAACTGAAGTCAGACAGAGAAAGACAAGTACCATATAATTTCACTTATATGTGGAATCTAAAGAACAAAATAAACAAAACAGAAAAAGACTTAGATACAGA